GCGAGGGGCGGAGGATCCGAATGCGTGGAAGGGAGCAGTGAAGGCGGCGATGGTTCAGCTGCAGCACCAAGACACACGGTGAGAGAGGAGGGAGAGGGGAGAGACAGGAGAGGGGAGAGGAGAGAGGAGTGGAGAGGGGAGAGGCAAGGAGAGGAGTGAGGAGGATATGATAGGAAAGGAGGAGAGCAGAGGAGAGCGGAGTAGAGGAGAAGAAACAAATGTAGTGTTCTATCTATGCCTTTTGTGTGTGCGCCCATGATCCCATGTGTGCAACCATGATCCCATGCATGCACCCATGATCCCATTTGTGCACCCATGATCCCATTTGTGCAACCATGTTCCCATGCATGCGCCCATGTTCCCATGCGTGCAGGCATGAGAATCTCGATCTGATGCTTCGCTTCGGCCCCAACGCCTGGAAAGTGCACAACCAGCACCTTGAGGCCTTTTTAGCCAAGTGAGTGTGTTTTTGAGTTTTTTGTTAAGTTTTTCTAAGCATTTTTGGGTTAATATGTATGGGTGCCATATCTCTACATGGCACTGACTGGTATTTAACAAGTGCACAACCAGTGCCCCAAGGCTTTCCCTACCCATTAGGTGCCATGGCTTTACATGGCAGCTACTGATGTTTAAACTCCATGGCCAGCAACCCAAGTCTTGTTTAGCTGTTTAAGCAATTCGTGTGGTGCACACATTTTTTTCATTTTGTTTCCACTAGTTTTCTATTTTTTACTGATCGACTTTCAGAATATTCTTGTTTAGCGCTGCTTAAACAACCGTCAAATTTCTATAAGAGTGTTAATAGTAGTACCAATACAAGCACTAATAATGTAACAATAGTAATAAAAAGAACGCATAATTCTGACTGAAACCCTTTGTTGCCATGTGTCTTAAACAGAGCTCAGAAGGAGGTGGCAGAGAGGAAACGAGAAATTGAGCTGCTGAACAGAGACAGGAGGCTGAACCAGGTGCGGTGGGGTGAGGGTTGAGTGGAAGGAGGATGGACAGCAGAGGCAGGAATGTTGCACGCACCCAAAAGATAGTTTGGAATATCGCACGTACTTTATGGAATAATTAAGATAGTCAAGCGTGGTGGGGGAGGCATGGCGTTCTAACTGCACGCTGGTAATTGATATTCGAGAGTACTGGTAAGAAAAGTGAGGAGATAGGATCTGTACTCTATACAGCTTCACAGTGATCGAATGGATTCATACTGTCTTCGGAAGAAACATGTCTAGGGGGTGACGTTCGGCACCCATCAACCCTAGCTCGCCTAGGAGGATGCGATCGAGGTTGGGTGGGAGGATAATCCTGTGAGGGCGAATGGAGAACGGTGAGCGGGGGGCCATGCCATGTACTTCACTATAACTCATACGCTCATGCTCATCGTTCTCCATTTGCTCTCACTGGATTACCCTCCCATTCCACCTCGATTGCATTCTCTTAGGCCAGCTAGGGTTGATGGGTGTCAAACGTCACCCCCAGAATATTAGATAATAGAACCATGCTGAACTAGCATCTCTCAACCCTTTCTTCTGTTCCCGCTCTCCTCCTATGTTTCACTATCGCAACAAGCAGCAGCGGTGGAGCTAGGCCGGCTGGAGCAGGCGTGGAGGGAGGGAGGGCGTGCAGAAGAGTAGAAGCGTGTTGGTCTAGCGACATGACCCAATGTCCTCCCTCTTCCCTCACGTGCAGCAAGCAGCAGCGGTGGAGCTAGGCCGGCTGGAGCAGGCGTGGAGGGAGGGCGTGCAGAAGAACGCTGACCGGTTTTCCTTTACCCTTTCCCCTCCAATGTTTCACTATCGCAGCAAGCAGCAGCTGGGGAGCTAGGGCTGCTGGAGCAGGCGTGGAGGGAGGGAGGGCGTGCAGAAGAACAGAAGCATGCTGGTCTAGCAGGCAACACACCCCTTCCATTTCCTCCTGCTTCTCTTCCCCTGCGCCACCTCCCCAGCAAGCAGCAGCGGTGGAGCTGGGCCGACTGGAGCAGGCGTGTAGGGAGGGCGTGCAGAAGAACGCGGATATCCAGGCGGCGTGTGCTCAGCTGGAGGCGCAGATTGAGGGGTTGAAAGAAGAGGCGCGAGCACTGTAAGTCTCTGTGGTGGGTGGGTGGGAAAATGCTTAGTCAACTGGGTGTGCAGAAGAACGTGTGGATATCCAGGCTGCATGTGCTCTGCTGGAGGCGCAGATTGAAGGGCTGAAAGAAGAGGCACGAGCACTGTGAGTGTTTCTGCTGGGTGGGACCATACTTGTCAATAGGACAGATATCCAGGTGGCGTGTACTCAGCTGGAGGCGCAGATTGAAGGGTTGAAAGAAGAGGCACGAGCACTGTGAGTGTTTCTGCTGGGTGGGTGGGTGGGAGTATGCCTGGTTATCTTAACTGGGCGTGCAGAAGAACGCGGATATCCAAGCGGCATGTGCTCAGCTGGAGGCGCGGGTTGAGGGGCTCAAGGCAGAGGCTCAAGCATTGTGAGTTGAGGGTTCAGGAAGTAGGGCTTAGGGTTCAAGATTTAGGGGTTGGCGTGGGACGGATATCCAGGCGGTGTGTGCTCAGCTGGAGACACAGATTGAGGGGCTCAAGGCAGAGGCTCAAGCATTGTGAGTTGAGGGTTCAGGAAGTAGGGCTTAGGGTTCAAGATTTAGGGGTTGGCGTGGGACGGATATCCAGGCGGTGTGTGCTCAGCTGGAGACACAGATTGAGGGGCTCAAGGCAGAGGCTCAAGCATTGTGAGTTGAGGGTTCAGGAAGTAGGGCTTAGGGTTCAAGATTTAGGGGTTGGCGTGGGACGGATATCCAGGCGGTGTGTGCTCAGCTGGAGACACAGATTGAGGGGCTCAAGGCAGAGGCTCAAGCATTGTGAGTTGAGGGTTCAGGAAGTAGGGCTTAGGGTTCAAGATTTAGGGGCTGGGGTGGGACAGATATCCAGGCGGTGTGTGCTCAGCTGGAGGCTCGGATTGAGGGGCTCAAGGCAGAGGCGTGAGCACTGTGAGTGTCTGTGGCGGCTGGTTGGAGCATGCTTAGTCAAATGGGTCGCGCATCTGGGAGGTACGTGCACAGGTGGAGGGCTTGAAGGGAAGGCTTGTGCACAGCTGGAGGGCTTGAAGGGAAGGCTTGAAGGCGAAAGAAGGGACATGCTTTGGCAAGTACCTCTGACATGGGTGGGAAGTACCTCTGCTTTTGGGACTTTTCCAAACGTTGGTTGAGAGGGTGTGTAGGAGGACATGTGGGTGGCGTGCGGGTGGCTGGCGGAAGGGCTTGGAATTTGGTGAAGGAATTTGCAAGCAGTGTAACGGTTGATGGTTGACAAGCTGATAATGAGAGTTGGCTATAGAATATTGCTGAAATAGCATCTGTGGAGTCAAATGCCACCTTGCCACCTTGACGTCTTAATTTATTGCTGCTTTTTTGTTAAATGCAATGTTCTTTCTGTTCCTTGTGCAGGGGTATGGTCACCGATAATGCGATGCAAGAAGATTGAGCTTGTTATATTAACAGGCAAGCGTGGTTCTGAAATTCTTGAGGGCTGCAGCAATGCAATGCAATGACTGGCCTGATATCTAGCCAGATTTGTTAGTTTCATCCATGTAAGATTATGCAATCTGTAGATTTTTTTTTTTGTACAAGCCGTACTCACATAACGCGCGATGCTCAAACAAGGCACATTTCAATTGCCGAAATCATCGTGCTGCCAACTTGGTGCTCCCGTCCTTTTCTTCACCTTGGGCAGTGCCAGGCCGAGCGGAGGCCAGACCGAGGAAAGTTTGTTCGAGACCAAGAGCAGCCCACAAAGAAAAAAACACATTTTGCTCCCGCTTCCTTTGCTTTCTTCGGTTTTCCTTTTTTGCCGGCGGTCAGCAGCAGGTGTGATGTTTCGTGGGCTGTACAGTAGGGGATTTTTTGGTTCGGCTCAGTTTCACGCTTGGGCTTTTGCCGAACCAATCCCACACGTGGATCCCGACCAAAGCAATTCCATAGTTGACAAGCCGACGCTTGGTTTGGGTCACCCCAGGAACCACCTGACAAAATCCACGACTCGGCGGAAAACCGATGGACAAGGGTTTGCTCAGCTGTCAGCTGCCCGCATCCTCAAGCTGTGCCTGCAAAGGAGCCTCAGACGCTTAGCTACGAGGACGCTTAGCTTGTCACTTTGCCTTGCAGGTAGGAAAACACTTGTTCGTAGGGAGCTGAAGACAATTTGCTGGCCCAACCCTTTTTTTGACCGGGCACGCGATGTTAGCCCAAACTTGATGGGTGATCTAGAGTGGCGGATCTTCTGTCCCCAAGCTCCAACCTTCACCTTTCCACTGTACCGAGGATTCCGATTGTAGTGTGTGTGTGTCAGTTTATAGATCGGTTTCCAAAGGTTTAAAGCGGTGAGGAGATTCAGAGCAGCATATTTCAATTCAATTTTGCTTGTTCTCCAGGCAGAGTGAGCTCACTCGCGCATCCCTATTATGGTGAATTGGTTGTGCCTACTAATAGTCAGGTGTGATGTGGTGAGTTGGCACCTCGCATTGCTTATTATGCAAGACAACGAATCTCTTCCTTTCCTGTACAAAGTGCATTAGGCACAGTCTCTATGGCGACAACATTCGGGAGTAATGGCGCCAGAGGCGGCGGGAGCCCGAATCACGGCAACGGCCAAACCAGCGAAGTTTCTGGAAGCATAAAGAACGACGCGAAGAGCCACAGCGGTATTGGCCTGCGCCGTTTCTTGTCGTCTAGCAAGAACGCGCTACACTCCGTCTTCGACCATCATCATCATGACCGGCGAACCCGCTCCGATAAAGAACGACCTGATAAAGGAGGTCAACCCGAAGGCCGGGCGAGCCAGACACGAGCGGCATTCACGGCGTCGTTTTCGGGCTCAGCAAATATGTCCATAGAGGATATTGCGCTGCCAGCTAGCGCGCTTCGCGGCTCGGAAGAGCAGGCGAACGCGATGCGGCGGCAGCTGGAGCGACAGGCTAACGCGTATCGGCTCAGCTCGGCGAGTAACAGTATGTCCTCGATAGAAGGCGCAGGCCGGCCTGAAAACGGGGCAGCAGGGAGCTCAGCAGAGGTGGGTAGCAGCGTACCCGCGGGTTCACTGGCAACCGTCGATTCGAACGACGCTAGTACATCATCAGCGGCGGAGAGGGGCGGAGCGGCGGAAAAAGCGGAGCCAGCCGCGGAACCGGCTCAGCCATTGGCAGAACTGGCGCAGCCATCAGCGGAACCGGCGGAGCAGCCCGCGGACGGCCGAGTGCTCTCCTGCGCCGAGGAAAGCGGGGAAAGAGAGGGTAACGAAGGTTCTCGTAACGAATATACGCCGACAGGCTCCGCGGAATTGGCCCCCGCGGGGTTGTCCCCCGCGGAGTTGGACTCCGCGCCGTTGGACTCCGCGGAGCTGGCTTCCGCCGCTTCCGCGGACACCGCGGAGGGTGACCCTACCGCTCCCAGCGCCCCCAGCGGAGAGGCCGTTGCTAGCGCCGAGGAAGGTCAGAAACCGGAAAACGCTCCTTCAAACGAGGATGCTTCTAGCGCGGATGACACGTCATCCGTTAGTAGCGATCAGCCGGAGCCGCCCGAGGAATTCATCTGCCCGCTGTCCCTCGATATAATGTTCGACCCCGTTATAGTGGAATCCGGGCAGACGTACGAGCGTGCTTTTATCGAGCGCTGGGTCGCGGACGGCCACAAAACGTGCCCCAAAACGCGCCAGCCGCTCCCGTCCGGCGCGATTATACCAAATCAGATCCTCCGCGCGCTGATCACCGATTGGTGCAAGCGGAACCGCGTTGCGCCGCCGACTCCGATCTCCGCGGACGATGTCGCGCTCGCGTTCTCCGCCGGCGGCGCGAAGGGCGCGGAAGGGGGCGCGGGGGGGCTGGCGGCGCAGCGCAGGCGGGAGTATGCGGCGGCGGCGGTGCGCGCGGCGGCGGTGGCGGTGGAATCGGAGCGCAGGCAGCGCGCGCTGATGGAGCAAGTGATGGCGGACCGCGCGGCGGCGGCGGCGGAAGGGCGGAGGGCGGTCGGGCGGACGGGGGACCGCGCGGGAGCGGACGAGCTCGCAACGCGTCAGGCGCGCATCCAGCAAATGCGCGCGGCGGCCGCGGGGCAGGGGCAGGGGCAGGGTCGCGGAGGGGGGAACGCGGGCGCGGACGCCCGCGCAACTGCAGCTGGGGCGGCTGCGGGGACGGGAAGGGATGGCGGGGAAGGGAGAGGGGGACAGGCGGGGCGGGGGGGAGACATGGGGGAAACGGCACAAAGAACCGCTAGGGTTTCCGCTGGTGCTTCCGCTGGTGCGCCTGCATCTGCCGAACCTCCCTCCAGAACTGCCGCAGCTCGCGTGGCGGCTCGGACGGCAGCTCGGGAGGCCGACAACGCTGAGGACCAGTACGGGAACGGGATTCCGGACCACCTGCTAGCAGGCTTGGGCGGAGGCTCGGGAGGAGGTTTGGGAGGGTCCGGCGGAGGTTTGGCCCTAGCCGGCTGGCCGGGAAAACTAGCTATGAAAGCCGCCATATTTAAGACTCAGGCTTGGCCAAACCCGAAAGAGAAAGAGGGTCCGGGAGGGGGAGGGGGAGGCGGAGCAGGGGGGAGTGGGGGAGGGGCAAGAGCGGATGTGAGTATGTCGGGGCCGATTGGGGTGGGGGCAGGGGGGGCAGGCGGAGCAGGGGGAGCAGGGGGAAGCGGAGGGAGCGGGGGAAGCGGGCAAGGTGCGGCTGGGAGGGCAGGTCTGAAGTTTGGGGGTCTCAGGCACTCCAGGTTCGCTGCTGGTAGTGCCGGTGCTGCCAGTGCTGCTGGTGCTGGTGGTTCTGCTGCCGCTGGTTCTGGTGCTGCTTCTAGTGGTGCTGCTGAAACAGCTTCTGCTGCTGCTGCTACCTCTTCAGCTTCTGCCAACGCTACTGCTGCTGCTACTACTGCTACAGCTGCTACAGCCGCCACAGCTGCTGCTGCTTCTGCCGCTGCAGCGTCTGCAACACCCGCGCTTGCCCGGCCCAGACCAGGCCTCCTCACTTCCACCGGACCTACTTCCGGACCTGTTTTCGGGCCTGTGAGCCCCGGACCTGTCGCAACTGCCGTGCCTCTGAGCCCCAAGCCTCGGTTCCCGGGCCAGTCCGAGGGTCGGGTGTCCAAGGGCCGGAAAAAAATGGAGCGGGAAATCGCGAGGCTGCTGGCTCGGGAAGACAGCGCCTCGAGAGAACATAGCATGGAGCACGGGAGAGGAGGGGAAGGAGGGGGAGGAGGAGGGTGGGGAGGAGGAGGAGGGGGGCATGAGCGCGGGCTGAGCACTAGCAGCAGCGTGGACGGTGGGCAGTGGGAGTCGATTCCGTACCAGTTCCCGTCCTCTCGCTCCTTGGATCCCAACCAAGGCAACACTTACCAAAGCTTCCCGTCCTCTGCTTCTGTGGATGGCGGTTACAGTGGCGGATTCTCCTTTGCTTCTGCCTCTGTCTCTGGCCCTGCCTCTCCCCCTCCTGCTGCTTTTTCTGCTGCTGCAGCTGGTGCTGCAGCTGGTGGTGCTGGTGTCGCCGGTGCTGCTGGTGGTGCTGCTGCTGGTGCTGCTGCTGGTGCTGCTGCTGGTGCTGCTGCTGGTGGTGCTGCTGCTGGTGCTGCTGCTGGTGCTGCTGCTGCTCTCCCCTCCCGCGCTGCCCTCCCCCTCCCCTCCTCCCACCACTCCATCATCTCCCAAGCCTCCTTCGCCCCCTCCCCCCCGTCCCCTCTCCCCCCGCACCCCCGCGGCTCCCACTCCAAAACCCCCTCCTACGCCTCCTCCTCCCACGCCCCTACCTCCTCCACCTCCCTTACCCCCTCCGAACCTCCCGAGGAATTCCAAATGCTAGATGTAGACAACCTAGTCAACCACATGCGCACCGGACCTCCCGAGGAAAAAGCCGCAGCCGCCGCCCTGCTCCGCGTCATGACGCGGCACGGGTTCGCGTGCGGCCGGCGGGTTTTGGAAGCGGGCGGCGTGGGGCCGTTGGTCGATCTCCTGTGGTCCGACGACGAACCGACCGCCGAGCACGCAACCACCTCGCTTTTCAACCTTGCTCTAGAAGCTTCCGCAAGAATGCGTATCGTGGTTACCACCGGGAGTAGAGTAGTGGAAGGGCTTGTTCACGTGCTTTCCTGCGGTGCGCCCGCTGCGAGAGCCAACGCAGCAGCAGCTCTCTTTCTCCTTTCCCGCGACACCGGCGCCAACAGCAGCATCAACAGCGGCGCCCGCGCCGCAGCCGAGGCGAATTCGTTTCGCGAGGCGGTGGTAACCGCAGGCGCGTTACAGCCGCTACTAGACCTGCTCCTAGACGGTCCCACCCGCGCGAAAAAAGACGCGGCGAACCTCCTCGTTTCCCTCTGCATGGCCCGGCCGAACCGGTCCAGCGTGGCTAAAGCCGGTGCAGTGCGGTGCTTGTGCCAGTTGCTCAGCGAGGGGGTAGAGGTGGTAGAAGAGCAAGCAGCAGCGGTGTTTGCGGCTCTTGTGAGGGATCCCGAGGGGAGAGAGGTGTTGGTGGAGGAAGGGGCGGTGCCGGCGCTGGCTGAGTTGGTGGAGGGGGGTACTCAGGGGCGGGCGAGGGAGTATGCGGTGGGGACGCTGCTGGGGCTGGGCGCGAGTAACAGGGAGTGGCTCGTTGCGATTGATGAGGAGGGGATTTCGGCATCCGTTGACGTGCTGACTCGTGTTGGCACGGGCAAAACGCAAGCCAAGGTGAGTGTTGAGTGGGGATGGGAGGGGGGAATGGGATGGGGGTATACGGTGCGAACGCTGCTGGTTCTGTCGGCCTGGGGGTTTGAGGGCTCGGCTCGACAAGCGGGAAATGGCTGGTTGCGATTGATGAGGAGGGGATATCTGCTTCGGGCAGTGGATGTGCTCACACATGTTGGCACGGGGAAGACGCAAGCCAAGGTGAGTCTTGAGGGGGGGTGTGTGAGCCTGAGGAGGAGGGGGGAGGGGAGATGGGCGCTGAGGTTACTGGAGGGCTGGGCGCGCTGCTGGGGCTGGGCGCGAGCCGCAAGGAGTGGCTGGTGGCAATTGATGAGGAGGGGATTCCTGCTTTGGTTGACGCTCTCACACGTGTGGGGACAGGGAAAACGCAAGCTTATGTGAGTGTTGACTTGGAGGTGCTGAGGTCTTGGAGTTTGAGGGCTGGGGGCGAGCAGCAGGTCCCTCTGCTGCTCTCTTCCCCTTTCAGGCCGCAGCACTTCTGGAGCTCCTGAGGTCGTGCCACACACAGGAGAATGGGTAGATGGAGGGACGAACTGCAAGTGGTGATGGCGGTGGTTCATGCATGCTCTTCCTGCTACCCCCTCCCCTGCTACCCCCGCCCCTGCTACCCCCTCCCCTGCTACCCCCGCCCCTGCTACCCCCTCCCCTGCTACCCCCTCCCCTGCTACCCCCTCCCCTGCTACCCCCGCCCCTGCTACCCCCTCCCCTGCTATGCCCCTTCCTGCCCCCTCTGCTGCTCTTTCCCCCCTCCAGGCGGCAGCACTGTTGGAGCTCCTGCGGTCGTGTCAGGCACAGGAGGGTTAGCGGGAAGTGGGGGGAGAAGATGGGGGGAGGGGGGTGGCAATTGGTGGTGGTGCTGGTTTGATGGATATGTGTGATGGTGGTTAGACGAGGGGGCGATAGCAAGTGCTTGGGCTACTCACTCCTGCCAGGCACAGGAGGGTTAGCGGGAAGTGGAGGGTAGAAGGGTGGCCAGAGGAGGGTGGCAAGAGGTGGTGGTGCTGGCTTGATGGTTATATGTGATGCTGGTCAGAGCAAGGGGCGACAGTTACTGCTTGAGCAACTGAGGTTGTGCCAGGCTCAGGAGGGTTAGAGGGAAGTGAGGGTGTCGATGGGAGGCAAGTGGTGGTGGTGCTGGTTTGGTGGATGTGTGTGATGATGGTTGGAGGGAGGGGCGATAGCAAGTGCTTGAGCTACTCAGGTCTGTTGGATACAGGAGGGTTAGAGGGAAGGTAGGGCGGTGGCAAGTGGTGATTGTGCTGGCGTGATGGCTATTTGTGATGATGGTTGGAGGAAGGAAGGGGAGTTGGCAGGCATGTGGTGATGGTTGGATGTGGTGGTTTTGCTTTGCGGGCTCTGGATGGGGCTGGCCGGGCACGTGAGGATTTGAGTGACTGTGTGTTCATGCCGCAAGAGAATGGCATTGGTGGAGTGGACTGTAGAGTTTTGACTTGTGAGAATTCTCAAAAGTGATTTCAATATGACTGTAGAGTTTTGAGGCGCCTCAAATCAAAGGTGGACTGAGGAGTGAAAGTTGTGGTCCGTGCGAGCTGGCGGGCACAAAGAGGGCGGTAGTGTCAGAATGTTATTATCTAGCCTGTAGTGGGGTGCTCTATAGCGGGTACAACCCAGTTAGGGTTTGCTATATGTATCCCAACTGCAGCTAGTGAAACCCCTCCTTTGCTCATTTCTCTCTTGCCTAGCTAGGGATTATCTAGCTATGGCTCCTCATCGTTCTGCCTACTATCTCAACATGGTATCAGAGCGGTTACGCTCCTGGCCTGTGGGCCCGCCTGCTTCCGCTGCCTTCCTGTGTGTCGCGCGTCCCGTGGCGCGCGATGTTCGTTTTTTCTTCCCGCCGCGCGCTCGGGGCGCGCGGCGGTTTTCTGCCCGCCGTGGCCCCGAGGCGCGCGGCGGTTTCCTCCCTCGTGCGTCACCCCGGGGACCCGCGCTTCCCCCCCTCCCGTCGACCGCCCCGTCGCCCGTCGAAGCGCCCCCCGTCGCCCGTCGAAGCGCCCCCCGTCGCCCGTCACGGAGCCCGCGGACCCGCGCGTCGCCCCCCGTCGCCCGACGCGGCCCGTACGGGCTGCGACAGGCCCGCGGGCGGCCCGTCCGGGCTGCGCCAGGCCCGCGCGCGGCCCGGGCAGCCTGCCTCAGGGCCGCGCGCCGTCCCCCGCGCCGTCCCCCGCGCTCCTGCCCCGTGCCACCCGTTTTAGGGTTTGGGGGTGGCGAGTGTGGGGGTGGCAGTTTTGGGGGTGCAAGAGTGTGCGCCGTCCCCTGCTCCTCCTCCTCCTCCGTCTCCCACTGCTGCAGCTGCTGCTCAGGGGGGTGGGTGTGTGGGAGCCGAAGGAATGGCGCTAGGGGGGTGACGTGGGAGTGGAGTTAGGGGTTCAGCAGGGGGGGGGTGTCAAGGGTGTGGGTCAGTTGGAGGAGGTTGTGTGGAGGTAGCTGTCGTGTCGCCTGCAGCGCCTGTAGTCCGTCGCCCTTGCTTCGGTAGCCAGTGAGCCTGTTGCACCAGTCGCCAGTGGGTCCGTTGCTCCTGCCGCTCGTCTTAGCCGCGGAGCCAGTCACTCCAGTAGTCCGTCGCCCTTGCTTCGGTAGCCACTGAGTCAGCCGCTCCTGTGCCCGTGCCTCTGCAGCTTCAGTCGTTGCCTCCCATCTTCTCTCCTTCCACAGTTCCTCCTCCTCACTTGCCCGCTGTGATTACCTCTAGCTTTGCTTATTATTGTGAACTCCTGCTATGCTTGCTCATTGTGCTGATTACACCCCACTTTGGCTATGGGGGTGTGTCAGAATGTTATTATCTAGCCTGTAGTGGGGTGCTCTATAGCGGGTACAACCCAGTTAGGGTTTGCTATATGTATCCCAACTGCAGCTAGTGAAACCTTCCTTCTTTTGCTCATTTCTCTCTTGCCTAGCTAGGGTTTACCTAGCTATGGCTCCTCATCGTGCCTACTATCTCAACAGGTAGTGAGTGGATTGGACAGAGCAGGGTGGTGGTTTTGACACCAGTGCCGGTTGTTTTGTTTTTAGGTACGGTACCTACAACGACAACATCTTTACTTAACTGTGAATTTGGAACGCGTATTTATTTTCGCGCGTGTCGTATGCAATGAATTACTACCGTACCGTAGCTTCTTTTCCTGCTGCTTGTACCTGGACACAGGATTACCTGCACTGCATGTTTTGTAACAATTTGTCAAGATAGGCTTTTGGGCTTGGAAAATGTTACTAGTTGAAAATCTTGCTTTTGATCTTCCTGCAAGATCCTAGTTGTTCCTCCAAACTTGCTTTCCATCGTGTATGTATGATATTGGTGAGACAAAACACCTGCCAAATTACAAAAGATTGCGTTGCACATTGGGTTCAATTGTACAATTCTGGTACACGAGTAATCCTACCGTACCATGGCCTACCAGTGTAAGGATTTACAAATCCTTACTGAGGCGCTCGATAGCGAGGCCATCCCGAGGGCCACGCGACCAACTGGTTCGGCCTACAATTTCGCATCCCAACCTCACCGAGCCGCCTCCGCACCAATCGCGACACTTCGCGAGCCAACCCTACCACACCATCCCCGCCTAGCTAGGTTTTCCCCTATTTAGGCATCACTACTTCATTGTTCAGGCATTCGGTAGTTCAACATTCTCGTTATTCGATATCTGCGCACTCTGACAAGTTCATTCATAACACCTGGTATCAGAGCTACTTTCCTAGCCTACCCCGCTTTTTAGAGTGTATTACCCCTCGGGGGGGGGGGACGAGTAAGGATGCCTTGGGGTCCAGGAGTTGCGTAGGCCGGCCAAGAGAACTAGTTAGTTGCTCTTCGCGGCCATAGTTTTACGGGGCACTCCTTCGGCACCGCCAGATCCTTAGCTCGAACGGTCGCGATCGACCGTGACCTCCCTCCCCCCGGGCAACGGACAGCTGGAGCTGTCGCGACATCGAACGTGAGTTACTATTTCCGCTGCGGTTTTAACGACGATTTCGAAACTGTGAGGCAGCTGGCGTCAGCGGATCTGCGTCGGCACTCGCACGAAGATTTCGGAAGTCGTCACGATGTGTGGCAGTTGACGCCGTCGGACCCGAGTCAACAACTGCGCGACAACTTCGGAGTCCGTCCCATGCGGCAAGTGACAACGGTGGCTCGTCGTCATCATGCGCGCGCGACTCACGGAGTGTGGCTCGGCAGCTGGCGACAAGGAACGTGCGTCACTGTGGCGAAAATTTCGGAGCTTCTGTTGAAGAAAACGTCGGCTGGGGAACTCGCCAGGCGCAAAAGGAGTTTGCGTCCGAAAATGTCGGTGGCGAGGAGAGACGACACAAGACTGCCCGACTTCGCGGGAGTTAACTGCCGTCCCGCCCGACCTGTTAAGTGCGGCAGCTTTTACTGCATTGGCGGGCGCGTCATCAACAAATTCGGCAGGAGTGCTCGTGGACAGACGGGACTTCATACCTGCTGACGCTTACGGGCTGCAACGGAAAACGCGATGGCTAAACCGCACTTACGAGGAGTGGGACGCAGGCGACGAAGGAAATCGGGGCAGGTACACCTCGAAAGAACTCGTGCGACGCTGCGTGCCTGGTGTTGTTGCAAGCTGGCCGGCAGTATCGAGAACAGTTTCCCCTGACCAAGGACGTTGTTTTCGGGGACAGCTGCTGACAACCCACGGTTAAACGGTGTCCAAGGTACCGCCCGATAATTTCGGAAGGGTCGGTACAGGCTGCCGGGACACGCGAGAAGAAACGGCCCAACGGCTAAGCGGGGGTTGAAGAACGTTGCGGGGGCAGATTAAAAGCCGGTGGAATCGATCTGCGGCCCTACTTCGCCCGAACCTCACCATCCCCACCAAGTCCTGGTTCTGACTCATGCAGTCAACCTACTTGGCCGAATAACGGGGGTGAACACGTGGCCTACCCTGCGCTGGTTAAAGGTACCGGGATTGGTGCCCGTTCAACAGCTGTACAAGAAAAGGACAAAAAAAAAGTGAAGTTCGCGGCACTGTTTTACTCCGACAAAAGCGGGCTGGGTGAACGGCACGCGAAAAAGTCGGGGAGCTGCGAAGAAGAAATGGTGCAGTCTACAGGTTTCTCCTGACCCGGGCGTCTACACGAATTGACGGCGCAGCGGCGAAGCTGAGACCGGGAAGCTGTGGAATTTTTCGTGGCGTGATAGGCACGGCGGGCTGCAAAACGGTTGGGCGACAGTTTCCTTTTAACTAAGGCTGCCCCGACTCCGATAGTTTTTGCCTCTCCACCGTGGCCGAGTTCGCGTGGGCAACAACGACGATACCCCATCCGACAAAAGCGGACGCTGGGTGAACGGCGGGAAGCGGAATTGTCGGGGGGTGAATACGAAAAATATGACGACGGAGGGAAAGTTGTGGGTGATCCAGCAGATCACTTGAGTGATAGGTTGAGCCCGTGCACCAATCTACCGCGAATTTCGGAGTCTATTCGGTAGACCCCCGAAAGGGTTTGATATCGTTACATGGAGGCGCGGCGAGCGGTACATTGCCAAGGATACCTGGGATTCGCTAAGTAGTTCCGGCGGGTACGAAGATGGGTGAACATCGGAGTACCAGGGAAAAAACGGCGGAAACGTCGGGGCTATACGGCGGAGAATAACTTCGGGACTGCAGCCTCAACCACGATTTTCGGGGTTATCTTTCTACAAAAAAAAAAAAAAAGGAGTTGAAGCTGAGGGTGTTTCTTCGTTTCTTGGAGTGCGGTTGATACCTAGGACCCACGGGTGTTTAAACGTACACCGCGGGAAATTCTTCAGGGAG